CTCTCGCCTTTACGTCTCTTCCTTCGTCTTTTGATACTACTCCATCTTTCACCTTTTTTTTGATCCCCCAAAAGAAAAACCCTCTCTCTCTCTCTTCTTTTCTCTCCCTTTCTCTCTCTTTGTTTGTTTGTTTGTTTTTATTTCCGTATAAAATCATCACAACATACAAATACATACATAAATGAGATATACGGCGGATAGCCCATTTCAGGTGTATTAACCCTTACTGTACTGGGCTATTTTGAGCACCTCGTGACTGGGGGGGGGGGGGTGCCTGGGAGCCCCCCCCCCCCCCCCCCTATGATCTCGGCCGTCGAAAGTCCGATGAACGCGAAAATTTGCATGTTTGTAGATATTTACGTAAGGAACAAGATGGTATAATTAGTATTTTTCTAATATGCAAATTTTTGTCGTTATAGCCTAATTAATTATGCAAAATGCTAATTTTATGCATTTTACAAAAAACTCTTCATATTTGTCTGTAGACTTGTGAATAATGTTGAAAATGTATTGAATAAATGTTGAAAATAAATAAGTTAATTTGCATAAATTATGGAGACGCATTCATGACTATCAAATTTAGAAATATACAGGGAACTAGAATTATTACAAAAATTGTCAGACTCCACTTTTTGAATGTTAATTAAAACCCATTATTCATATGAAACTTCTTTTTCTAACACAAAATAGTTATTTTGATGTAATTAATAATGATAATTTATGCAAATTTGATGCGATTTTCAAATATTTATTTTCTTTTGTATTTTACAGTTTTTTATTTCTTATTATATCTATTGTTTTATTTCTAATGTATTCTTTTGTTCTGGAATACATCAAGTTACTTTGAGAAACATATAAAAGCAATTTGATATCCATTCATAGTATTCCCATTTCTGCTTGTACATGAAAATATGCAATTATAGCATATTTTTGATGACATGCGCATACTAATTGTTATGTAACACCTTACAGGTATATCTGATTCCGACGAAAATGGTATCAAAATATGCGTAAGACTTGAGGGAAAAAATTAAGAAACGACATTTTGAAATTCCAAGTGGTTGCGGCGCAATCTCCAAAAATGTCGAGGGGGGGGGGCCTCCCCCCCCCCCCCCAGTACAGTAAGGGTTAAAGGAGTCACCCCAAGAAGCAAAATACGCCTGTTCTTCCATGTATATTTTCCCTCACTCTCATTCATCCTCTTACTCTTTTATGATTTTCAATATTGGGAAAGATATGTTTGTTAATATTCTCTTCTCTGATTAGGCATACTCCCAATCATGAAGACAGTTTAAAAAAAAAAGTGTTTTCTACCTCAAATTAGAATAAATCAGGTATGTATTTAGTCGAAAATATTTCCGGGGCAGACGAACACATATTTGCATTTCGTTCTTATGTGTACTAAGTACGTTAGATTGAGTTTGGCTTTGGCAAATGTTCAATATACTTTCACTGGCGTCAGTTTACGAAAGCGGTTATTGTGAAGGTAAAAGTGTATAGGTACACAAGGCGGTTATGAATAATGTTTATAATGTCCGTTTTAAAAGGATAATGTTGCCTGATAAAACATTTTAACATTAAGCTGATATATCAGGCTACAATAGTCCAGTGTAAAAAAGTTCATGAAAACTTTACTTGTTCCCACTTTTGTAAATGTAAGGCCAATTTACCTGCCCTCCCTGCAATATTCTTTTCTTCTTCCTTAAATGCTAACAGTTCTTTTTGAAAATCCCCCAAAGACAATAATACGGACTTTCCCCTGCATCTATATATCCAATATTTCAATGCAAAAATAATTGTATTAAACATTTTTATTCGTGGGGAGTTACCAGACAACACTAAATGAATATTTATTCAGTCGATAGACCTTAATTCCCTTAGCTCAAACTTAGCTATTACATTTTGCCATAATATTTGAACATGTACACACTCCCAGAACAAGTGTAAATATGTTTTTATCTTTCGCTTACAAAATGAGCACAAGTTATCTACAACAAAGCCGAATCTGAATAAATGTTCTCTAGTATATATTGCTCCATGAAGCAGTTTATACTGAATTTCTCTTAGTCTGTTAACAAGAGTAACTTTCCTAGGCCTACTAAATATCTCCATACATACCTTATTTGAAAGATCTGAAAATTCCCGTCCATCATGAATCTTCAAGACAAATACATTTTGTAACTTCTCTATAAAATATTCATAAACCTTCCTCGATAATACATCTCTGAGGAGCTTCACAGTATTGTTAAACTGCATTAAAATATCATACTCTTTTACATCCACTAAACTCCAGTTATCCTTTTTTCCGCTTCTCAAAATAGCTTCCCCAATATTCCATACATCAACAATTTTGTTTCCTTTTAACCCCAAATTTTGAAAATGAGATATTGCCCGCATGCCATTTTCAGCAAAAATATCTTGAATTAAAATTATTTTGCGTGTAAACAACTCCTCATCGAAAATCATTTTCTTTTTCAATAAGAAATCTTTATTGTTAAAAATAATTGGATTATTCTTTTCCTCAAAATTCCTACAACCTTCTAACTCTTCCCATGCTTTGATCATTTCTAAATAGAACTTAGGTACTTTGAAACTGAATAACTTGGAATCATAGTTACACAAAAAAAAAAATCTACACCCTACCATCTTGAAGCAGAAATCAAAGTATAGCTTCCATCTCATAGATTTTTCTCGGTACAATAGTCTTTTCACCCACATTACCCGTTGGGTTTTTACAAACGAGTCAAAATTAGTCATTCGTAACCCTCCTTCATCATAACCTTGATACAATATTAATCTCTTAATTCGATCTTTCCCATTCCATATAAATTCAAATATATTTTCTGTATTTCCGATATGACCCACTTTGGAACCACTAGTGAAGCAAAAACGTAATTTAATTTACATAATGCATATGATTTTAATAAATGAATTTTTCCAAACACCATAAGGTCCATCTGTTTCCACCATCCGAGAAGTCTTTTTATCTTGCTTAAAATCTCCTTATAATTCAATTCCTCTCTTATTCTGACGTTTAACGCAAAATACACTCCCAAAATCTTAATTTCTTTAACCACATTCCCGAAGGGAAGTTTTTCTGATTTGTCTTTGTTTATCCCCAATTTCATAATATTAGTTTTGTCCGCATTAACCCGCATTAACCCGCATTAACCCGTAAACCACTTATTTTCTTAAATAACGTATAAATCTCCTCTACTCTTTCTACGGATTCTTTATTTCTAACAAAATTCATGTCATCTGCATATAAAACTTGTTTGACTTCAATTCCTCCAATATTAACGCCTTTAATAGCCTCATCATTCCTCACTACTGTTGCCAATATTTCAATAGCGAGAATAAATAAATAGGGCGAGAGTGGATCTCCTTGTCCTACCCCTTGCTTAATATCAAAATAACCAGTAGCAAAACACCAATTCATAACACAGCTACTTATATTACTGTAAATAGTTTTTACCCACGAACAAAATGAGGGACTGAACCCAAACCTTGATGTAGTTGATGTAAAAACCTTTACACACACGCACACCCGCGCCACACACGCGCACACGCGCATACCCACATTTTATCCTGTATAATAACGTGAATCAATTTTGATGTTACAGTGTGATTCTCATCTTTTTTAGAGTAAGCTTATCATTGCAAGCAATTCTTTCATCAAGTTTTAGTTCTGATACATTCAGTGAAGAATACAATAAACACCAAATGAAAGACAGATAAAGTGGACTTTAATTTGCAAGTTATACATAATGTGATTGAATTCGATTTATACAAACTATGACCTTTGTAGATTTATACTATAGTGCAGGGAATATGCATTGTGGGTTTAGACATTAAATTTCATAAGGTAAAACCTGTAAATTAGTCCAATTGAATAATTATAGTAAAACAGCCAGTACCCGACTACACGGTAGTTGATATGACATTCGTCGGTATCTATTTTCGACTTATTTTCAATATAGCACGATCAAAATATTTATTAAACGATTGTGACGTATCATGTGTATAATGCGTGCCTTAGCGACTTCAATATTAAACCAAATGTATCGAAGGAAACCTCACGGTTTTTACAAATCAAATAACCTCCATTTTCTCTTCCAATACAGCTTTGCACGCACCATGAGAAATTCACAAAGTGAATTTTATTTGATTTTTGATACGATTTTTTGGTCAGAAAAGGGCACTGGTGGAGAAATCACACATATATAATTAATACATCAACATCATCCACTTTTATAACCCTATTGCACATAATTGCAAATAATGCCTACAGCAACATAAATAATAATTGATACATGTATAAGTATTAGTAGAGGTGTCGTGGTCGACTGTGGATCATAAGGTCCGCGGTTCGAGTCCCGCCGCGGCACTAATGCCCGTTGGCAAGACATTAATCTACATTTGATTTGATTCCATCATTTGCTGCTTGTGTTGCTCCGCCATCACGCTCTGTTTTTTTCGTCAGAAATATCATGGTAGGGTTAGGGTTGCAAATTGGTTTGATGTTAGGTTTAGCTAGGGTTAGGGTTACGTCTATTTTGGGGACAACCCCGGGCGTTCATCGTTTTCCGATGGTAAGGTTCTCAAAGGGCATGCAAGTTCGGCCGATTTACAAGTTGCATTGAATTAATAGACACAAATAAATGAACAAACATTGGAAAGTTTCATCAAAATCGGACGAAAAATAAGAAAGTCATGGAATTCATAATTCATAATTTCGAACATTTTGATGCATGAGTTCGCAGGTTCTTTATTCCGTACGTTCGTAATTCCGAAAATGCTGAATCGAGTTCGTGATTTCGGAAATGAAATACGGTTTGACATTCTGTAAAAGGAGGGATCATTATTCCATTGATGGGTTCGTAATTACGAAAACGATTCAGGTTTTTTCTTCATCCTAAGACTGATGAATCTTCGGATTCCGAAAAATCGGAGCAATGAATCTTTGGAAAAACGACATGTAACCATTTGGTTGGAGTTGGAAATTCGGTTAGTGTAGAACGAAGATTGACCATGGAGTAATTGTCGCCTGAGCATGGTAACAGAATCACGATGTTTACCGGTGTCGCAGGAGGTATCTCAATCCACGAGAGGGCTCTACCACGTTGTCCAAACGACATTGAAAGATGCAAAGAAAAACCTGACTGAAAACAGGATGCTTGAAGCCATAAATAACCGGATTGATCATCGAGTTACTGAGAATCAGAATGGTGAAACAGATAAAAGGAATATAACTGCCTGGAATTACAGAGCAAACGCCATAAGGCAAGACGAAGACATAGAATACACAGACGACAGTGGCAAGATTTTTGGTCACTTTCATTTCCCGCGCATTCCATGGGTTTGCGCGTATCTCTGGCTCGACTATGCGGAGACGGACGGATACATGTGTGGGAGCAATGGCTGGACCTTCATCTTGCGCTGGTTGTTGGGAGGCTGAAGTCTGGTTGCTACGCGCTGCAGCTATCTGACGAGCTTGCTTATGAACGTGCAAGGCGATGACGACGTAACACGATGTTATCACGACGAAAGCAGAAATGATTGACAAAGCCAACATCATCGACATGAAAAACTCGCCCCTTTGTTCATCGCTCCAGCCGCATATTTTGTAGCGTTGGGAATAGCCAAGTTTGCCCAGGCCAGCCATCTGGGGAAGGATCATAACAAGGATTGGGTAGATCCAGCTGATGCTAACCATCAACACAAGATTCCTTTGACTGTATACTCGAGCGTAGGTTTCATGTGATCGTGTGATTTTGATCCATCTGTTTATGGCAATTAGAGTTAAAAGGACGACACTTGCTATGTTCGTGGTAATGATAACTCCCCCTGCTATTCCACATAGAGACCCAATCGGTGGAGGGCCATTGCTGTCAAGAAGAGAGATCACTTGCACCGGAAAGAAGATGCAGTTCAGGAGATCTGTTACAGCTAGGCACGCTACAAAGACATTCGTTGTTGTTTGGAGTTTATTTGACAGAAACAAAGCTACGACCACGAGACTGTTTCCAATCACACCGATAATTGTCACGAGGCACATGATACCTGCTGCCAGAATGCGATAGCCATATTGGCTAAATTCAAAGTGTATCGTCGCGTTGGTTTCTATAGAAACAGTAGTGGCCATTATAGTCAAGGAATCCTCGCTTTTACAGAGCACATGATCAAGTTGTACAGCCACTGTCAAAGTCGGGCGATATGTGAAGCGGCGCTAAAATTGGCGAAGCCGTAGTAGTGCCTTTCGGTTGCTTTTGAGTCTGGTTAGGATCACCATCACGATGAAAGCATCTCTGTCGCAATAATGTCGCACAACAATCCCCACCTGTCAATGGGTATAGAAATCATTCGCACGCTATATGTTTGCGTCAGTGAAAGTAAAATGGACTAGATGTATTCACATTTGCATCGATATCAGTGGAATTTCTAAGAGACTCGGCCATATTCATGTCTAAAATGTCAACTCATCTCCCCCACAATAATATTGCATGTTGTTATTACAGTAGCCCGTGGCTCGTGTCTCGAAATTGTCCAGGAAGATAGCCGTTATCCGACTCGACCGTTTGCTCGCTTTCGATTCAACAAAAACAGTAGATTCAACCATGATTGCCAGTTCATATCCTCTGTTAACGTTCTCAATGTGTAGGGTATTAAACATTATTATGTAGCGTATCCAGATATTGGTTATTAGGGGCGGTATCACTTCCGGTGGGGCAGGGGTTTGCAAAAAGTCACAGGGCAGCCACATGAGACCACCCTAAATCTAGCGTGCAGTGGTATTGATATTCTTATCTTGCTGGCCCTTCAGAAGGGGGAGCATACATTTACACCTGCCCCCATCCTATGTTTTATACGCCATTGTCGATGTTGACTGTGTTGTTTGCTGAGCGAGGAAATCGATGCAGAATGTCCTATTTATCGTGTTGTAGCGCAGCGTGGACTAATCTGTGGCAAAATGCAAGGACAAATTTGTCGTTTTTTCTCTCTATTACAAAAGCGCTACATAATGTAGCTTGTAGAAATCTCTCCGTTTTATCAAGGCTCAAAGAAAATCGCTCTCAAAGAACTATTGATTGCAAAGTAGTACATTATAAAATCACAAGATGATAACCAAAGATACAAAGCAGTTGCCCTATACAAATTCCACATCGCCTCGTAATTAGTTGTCAATTCCTCTTGGCTGCTGGATTCCTATTCGATTTCCTCTATACTTAGACATTCTCTTCCTTCTCTAATTACACATCAAATTCCTTTTGTGTGCATCTGATATTCATGAATTTTCAAATATGTCCCTTTCTGCTTCCTTTATTAAAAATCGATAACAATCACATCACATGTACGTTCGTTTGGTTTTCGTCTGCATCCTCTATCCTGTTCTTCCCCTTCCTGTTAGAGAAGATCATTAATAAGTTCGTTTTGTTCGCGTCTGATATTTATGAATTTTCATTCCTCCATTTTTTTTTAAAGAACAATAGCAATAACATTTACTCTCGTTTTGTCCAAGATTGTCCCGTCCTTCGCCTTTCTTCAAAAGAAGATCAATACTATTTGCTCGTTTCGTTTGCGTCAAATATACTTATGAATTCTCCAAGACTTTTCCCTCGTTTACCTTCCTCTTTAAAAACATTTACGCTCGTTTGGATTACGTCTTATATTCATTAGCACAGGAACATGGGTTCTAATTTCGTTGCTTGGACACTTCATCTTCAAAAGCAGCACGTGCCTTGCGTGTCTGAAAATAATCATGATGTTGGATCCGAACAGAAAAACACTAAACGCTTTCGAGTACCAATTTTTTCCTTCTCTAAACACATTAAAATCTAGAATCTCCAAGAAAAGTCTAATGCAGACATGAGGTGTTGTAATTGAGACTAATGTAAATTGCGATTTGCTTGAGTATTTGTCTCTTTCTTCTTCAAAGACCGAGCTTTTAAGGACCCATGACATCGAAATACAAGTGTATTCCTGTTGGTGTGCAGTCCTGCATACATCTCATATTTTGATATGTAAACTTCTGAATTTGTTTCGTAGATTTTTTAATATTTTTTTGAAATATTTGTTTTTCAAACTTGCCAAGCTCCACCCCAAAAACCTCCAGATCTCATTCCCCTTGTGACATCATCTGTCAGTCATCAATGAGCTAACTTGAGAAAGTGGCATGTAACTTTGCCAAAGTTGACCACCTGTTACAATACCACAAACAATAGCAACATATAAGTTGCTACGTCAGACATGTGAGACTAAAATAATATTATGTAATAGTATGTAATTTTCCCCAGCTTAGCACACGTTCATAATAGAATTGCATGCTTCCATACGACTTCGGCAAAGATACATACTACTTTTTCAAGTTAGCTCATTAATGACTGACAGATGATGTCACAAGGGGAATGAGATCTGGAGGTTTTGGGGTGGAGCTTAGCAAGCTTGAAAAACAAATCTTTAAAAAAATCTTTAAAAATCTATGAAAAAAATTCAGAGGTTTACATATCAAAATATGATATGTATGCAGGACTGCACACCAACAGGAAAACACTCGTATTTCGATGTCATGGGCCCTTGAAACTACGGTTGAACATTCTGGCTCTTTCGGTTTATTAATGTGTAAAGCGTCTTTGCATAAAATACAAAATTTATGGGACAATGAGACGACGTCAATAAAATTCTGTCAAATCATTAAAAAACGACGGTTGTCAGGTAACCAAACTTGAACAAGAAGAGAAGGGAGAAGAACAAAATATCACGTTTGATCATTCAGTACCGACAAATTACACCTGTATATCGCACTCTTATTACATATCGAATGTCTGTTATCAACGCTTGGCAGTTTGTTTGATTAATATCGTTGTTGAATGCCATATACCTGACTGTGAAGTTGTCTTTTATTGAGCTACTCAAAACGACATGGCTCGAATTGTCAGAGTCATTGAATACAGGCTTGATTATTTTCTTTGCAAATGGATGGCCGCGTCAAATATCAAAAATTGGTAAATGGTTTTGATGGATATTTTATGAGCCAGATATAATTGCTTTTCGCATATCTTTCATTAGTTTGTTTTAATTATAATATTCTATCATATAACATTAAGTGTAAATAAAGTAATGAGTAAAACCGACCGACAATGTAAAAGGTGTATTACATGTACATGGTCGATATCGTAGAAATGACATTTGCACTACATATTCTAATAGTACAAACTACATAAAATATTCTTATGATAAATAAATAAATGTTTATCATAATCATAGTTATTATCTTCCATTAACAAAGCTCTCTCTCTCTCTCTCACTCTCTCTCTCTCTCTCATTCTCTCTCTCTCTCTTTCTTTCTCTCTCTCTCTCTGTGTTTCATTTTGTCATGAGCGGTTCTATTGCTGTTTTGTGTATACATATATATAGTTTATCACGTACATCAATATACTCAACATACTTTTGTTACATACATTTTTTTTCCGTCTCCGTAAGCTTTACTTTGGTTAATCTTAACGTGAAGTAATAGAATCATAACATGTCACCTTTTTAAACAAAAATTGTTATCTAAACACATTTTCGCTATAGGCCCTATCTAAAGATACTATACGTATGGTAAGTAATACGTTAACAAATACAAAGAATGCATATTCAACAACAAAAAACATCGTATTAAAGTCACTTCGTTTTAATCTCATTGTAATTAATTCATTTAAGTTCCAATATCACTGTATTAACGATACTTATTATTACCAAAGGACGTGATATCTTATAATATACAATTGTGTAGATAAAACAGCAGAGTGTTTTTTTAGAAAGATAGAAAAGAGGAAAAAGTCTAGGTCATGTTTTATTACTAACAATGCAGGGCTACTATGTCACACTATTTATGATGGAATACGTGATATACAATGTACAACGATGTTATAAATGCAGATATAACAGAAGTATAGTATACCATATTTAAACAAATGTAACCACCAAAAACGCCAGTAAATTGTTGTCTACACGCAGTAGAAATGCTGTTTTCCCCTATCATATAATAACATATCCTAGTATATCTGTCACGATTGTATAAAAACCAGAAACATTTTAGCATTACAATGGCATATTACGTAATCCCAACTTGATTTATTCAGGCAGTACAAGAGTGCATTTGACTTTGAATGGTTAATTTCTTGAAGTCTTTGCAATCATGTTTAGGTGTTACAAAATAATTATAAGATAAATATTGAAAATGAAATGAGTGTAAATTCTATTATATATTGTAATACTGTATGGTTAATATATGTTATTTTAATTTTGGATATTTGAGAGGAATAAGTAAAATCAGATTAAATATAAAGACAAATGTAAATACAAACAAGCTTATGATATTTTATGTACTGTATATTGTTTTTATTGCGTTCGTTTTTGTTCTCGATTTTATTTTTCCTAAAATAAATGTCAATCTTCTAATTAAAAGCCAGCTTTAGATTAGCATTAAATCTTCTCTACTTTTAAATATTTCGTTTAACTTCATTTTATGACATTGGTATATATTCCAATACGGTTTCAATTTCATTTGAATATATCGAGAAATCTTAAAGAAGCGAGGTTTTTATTTCCATAATTTCAATACATATTTATAACTCATTGATTGAGTGAAGTATAACATAGGCTAAAAATTAAAGTATATTCAACAATTGTTCCAGCTTAGTATTATTTCTTTGCCAACACATTCATATCTTAAAAATAATCTGAGCAATGACTTGAATTAAAAAAACAAAGTATGTGGATAGTAAACAGAACCATTAACATGTATTTCTTTTTGGAATAGGTTAAATATCGAATTACATATTATTTTCCAAAAAAAGTCATATCTTTGCGATTATAACATAAAGTGAAAAGTTGAGTCAACTTGTCCACAAGAATTGCATAAATTATTATTCACAATTTGCCATTTATCAGTTTTCTTTTGCGGCAATAAACCTATAATTCATCTTGAAATTAAATTGTTTAACTTTATTATTACGAATTTGCTTTAATTTAGATAAAATTAAATCCTTCCACACAAAGTCATTATCCAAATCTAAAAAAAGAATTCCCAAAGTAAATGACATTTGGTTCACTTGACTCTTTACGTATTAACCCCCCCCCCCCCCCACTCCGGGTCGGAATGACCGCATGCGTGTTACCAAAATGTCCGGTAAAGGGGTACTTTTCACGCACCAAAGTCCGGCTCGTACATACACAAAATGGACTTTACACACCGGACTTAGGGGGTGTTTTCAAAAGGAGGGAACACGCATATGCGTACCCTAAACAACTGAGTGGGGGGGGGGGGGTATTAACAAACGATAGTAATCTTCACTTTCATAACAAAAACATTCACTTTATCCCCTGTTTCTATAATAGAAATGATTTCTATAAGATTGGAAATCGACATTTTGATACATTTACATTATCCAATAGCTCTGACCACATGCCTAACTTTTTGTTGCCTCGAAGGATTTATAGACCAAGCTGTTTTTGTCCATATTGTGAATTCGAATCCATTAATTGTTAATAATTATTT